CTACAACAATTTGATGAAACATTGAAGGCATCCTCAACTTGATAAAATGCTAAAGGCATCCTTAATTTGATATGAGTTTGATGTTATGGTTGGAACAACAAACCTATACTTATTTCATCAAATTTAAATTTGATAAAATAAAAGAGTAAGCGTTGGAGACGCTCTAACTCTAACCTGTTTACAGGCCCTTCTACTTCATAAGTTAGTATAAGTTAATTTTTTTTCAAAATAGAAGAAATAAACAGGTATGAGGATAAAAAAACTTTGTCAAGCCAGGGGACTATTTACAGTTTTTAGGTCCAAAGACTGTTTTATTTCTTGAAAGGAGAAAAAGAAAAAAAATTAGAAATGAACATTTAAAGTATTAAAGGTGAAGCCAACAACAAAACTTTGGACGAAGGAAGAAGGAAGAAGGAAGAAGACAGAAGATTTGGTGGACCCTAAAGACACGATTATGAAAGGTACATTTCCTAATTTTATGTTCGAAGGGCTGGGCGTAGGGTTATCTGACCCGCCAAAAATCGCCCTACCCGATCCGAACCGTGCACATATGGGCGATTTCACAAACACATTAGGGTAGGGTGCGGTTTGGATTTTATCAAATTTTCGGGTTGCGGGGCGGGTTGTGGGTTTGACCCGCACCGGTCTAACCTGCTAGCATAAATTTTATTTTTTCAATTTTTTTTTTCAAATTTGATCGTTCAAAAAAAAAAAACCTTTTTTTTCCCCCTTCAAATCTAACCGTTCAAAAACAAAAACCCTAATCAATCGTTATCTATCTCTCATCTCAAACTCAAAAACAAAACAAAACTCACTTACTCTCACTCTCGCGATTCTCATCTACACTGCATGCACCCACTGATCGACTCTCTCTCTCGTCGCAAGATTGATTGATCGACCGATCGACCTCATTGCACACCTCACAGGTAAGCCTCTCTCTGAATCTCAGTCTCTGTCTATGTCTCTCTCACCCCGATCTTGAATCTCTCTGTTTCTGATCTGTCTCTGATCTGTCTTCCCCACTCTCTCATCTCACAGTCTCTCACTCTCTGGTTTTGTATCTACACCGATCGACTCTCTCTCATCGCAAAATCGACCGATCGACTGACTCTCGCATCGCACTGATCAACCTCACAGGTAAGCCTTTCTCTTTCTTTCTCTCGCCCCGATCTTTGATTTATTTTGCAACATATCAGATTTGTTAAATCTGTGTACATAACCTTGAATCTGTGTTGAATATGTGTGCATAACCTTGAGTTTTTGAATCTGTGTACGTAACCTTGAGTTTTCGAATCTGTGTACATAACCTTTCTTTTGAATGCATTTGTTTTAAATAAATACTGAAGTTCCTTTTTATTCTAGCAGTTTGGATGACTAAGTGGATTTGACTCAACAATGGATCTTAGTTTTGTTAATCTGAATGCAGGTTTGGGACGTATTGCTGGAATTTTATCTCTTGAAGTAGAGGATGGGAATACTACGCTGGATTCTCTCCAGCATGTTGGGTCAGAACTAGCAATGCATGTCGTTGCTACTAAGCCATTGTTTCTGACAAAGGATCTCTTGTCTTCAGATGCATTGGAGAATGAACGTGAGATTCTTAAGTCTCAGGTACTTTTTAATGGCATTATTTAAGTTTTAACCATGTGTTTTATATTATATTTATTGTGAAGTTTCCCTGGATTGAAGTTTGGACTCTCTGCCTTGTGACTTATGGTTTTCAATTATATTTGTTTTGGAAATCTTTAATATTATCCATTACTAGTTGAAGTCTGTTTTTTGGTTTCCAGATTCTAAAGAAAGAAATATGAATATAGCTGAGGAAATGAATTTCCTCTGAGAATGACGATTACTTCGGTTATTTTATAAGTCCTTCATAAATTTTAATTTATTAGAGCATCTCCAACGGTTCACTTAATTTTTCACCAAATCTGAGTAAAAAAATGATCATTTTCTCAATCTGATACAGAATGCTCAAATGGTTGATTTTTATCAAATCTACTCTAGGGACAACCGGTTGGTCGACTGATAAGGCAAAATTTTTTTTATTTGAATTGTTTGAACCTACCTATTTGAACTGTTTGAACCTTTTAGTGGTCGACCGGCCGGTCGACCGGTAAGGCAAAAATATATATATATATATATTTTTTTAACGTGTTTGAACCTTTTTTTGACCGGTTTGAACCTATCAATTTCAAAGGAATTCGGTCAACCGGTTGGTCAACCGGGCGAGCAACCGGTTGGTCGACCGGGTCCCCCCTCCAACGGTCACCAACAGTGTTTTGTTGAATTCTCATTTTGATATCAATTTGGTGAAACGGTTGGAGCACCAAAAAGTGCTTTTTTTACCAAAATTTAAATTTGATGCCAAGTTTAGTTCACCGTTGGAGATGGTCTTAATTATTAATGTTAGAGCATTTTAGAAAATGGGAGAAAAATGTCTAAAAGAAATATTGACAAAATGGGGGAAAAAAAAAAGGGTTTGAAAACAAATTTTTGAAAAAAAGTTTAATTCGCAAACCGCCCGCACATCTGCGAACTCTATCCGCACAAACTGCAAACTGAATTACGGGCGGTTGCGGGTTGACTTTTCCTCAAACCGCATAGATGCGGATGGGTCCAAACCGAACCGCAAACCGTTTCAAACCGATCCGTGGACACCCCTAGTTCGAAGCTTTGTTCTATAATTCGAATGATAGTTCAAACATATCCTCAATTGAGATAGGAAATCAAAGAAAAATATAAGGCAGAAAAACCAACAATTATTACAAGAGATACTGAAGTAATTGTTAAAAAAAAAAAAAGGAATTTAAAGCAAAAGTTAAAAGAATTAAAGCCATAATAGAATCCCAACAACATTAAAATTTACTTTCGAATTAGAATGTTGTACAGTAAATTGAGAGAATCCATATTGTTCAAAAAGTTTAAAGCCATATTAGCCTCTGTTTGGGAAGTGGGTTGACTTTTTAATTTTTTGACTATTTTAACCTGAGTTAAAAAGTTTAGTTTGGGAAAGATTTTTTGACTTTTTGATTTTTTGACTTTTTTGACTTGTTTTGTGAGAAAAGAATATAATGATTATAAATTAGATGTGATATTTTATTTTTTGTAATTAAAATAATTTATTTTATTTTTTATGATTAAAATAATCAAAAAAATTTCGTTTAACTCTTGTCAAACGAAGTCTTAGAATCTCAACAACATTAAAATTTACTTTCGAATTAGAATGTTGCACAGTAGATTGAGCGAATCCACGTTGTTCAAAAAGTTACTAGTCGGTCATAGGTATTTTTGCGTAGTGCCCATTAAAGTTGTGTTTGAAAAAAAAAAAAAAAACAAAACAAAAACAAAGGGTTCGATTGATTTGTATTTTTGAAAAATTTTTGAGAAATTTTTTTTACAAATAAGTTTTTAAAAGTAATCAAACTCAACAAATTTTCTTAAAAAAATTTCTCAAAACTTATAAACCAAACAAGTTTTCCAAACAAATCTCCCTCTCACACATATCAAATCAATCACTTTTTTCAAAATTCTCTCTCAAAATAATTTTCCAAAACATCTTTTGAAAAAAACCAAACAAACAACTTTTTATACTTTTTATCTCTAAAATACATCTCTCAAACACAAACTAAACATACCCAAAGAATTTACTTTCGAATTAGAATGTTGTACAATAAATTGAGCGAATCCATATTGTTCAAAAAGTTACAAGTCGGGCATAGGTATTTTTGCGTAGTGCCCAATAAAGTTGTGTTTGAAAAAAAAAAAGAAAAGAAAACAAAAATAAAGAATAAGATACATAAATTTGTGTTGAATAATTAAAGAATATGGGAGATATGACCATGTAACACGTTGAAAAAATAATTAATTTGTTTGATTTGATTTTTTTTAATTCACTGTTAAGAAAATTAAATTTTTTTTTCGTATTTTTTTTTATTTTCATTGAATTTTGTTTATATTTTAAGCATTTTTTTTTATTTTTAGATAAACCTAACACCAATACACTTAAAAAGTATAATATTTATAAAAAAAATCTTTAAAAAATTCAATGGGTCATGTTTGTTTACTGGCATGGGAGGGGGGGGATTGGAGTGCTATGGCTATGGGTTCTGCCCACAAATTGTTTGGTGATGATTTGGGAGGGAGGAATAATAATCCGAAGGATTTAGTAATCCTCCTCAGTAAGGGAATCACCTTGGCTGGATTTTAGGTGAAATTAAGAAAATAGTAAGTAGATTAAGTCTATTTTATATAAAAATTTTATTTTTTTAATTTTATTTTATATTTACTAAGTGCACCTGCTTATTTTAATATTTGTTTTAGTTTTTTTAAAATATAGGAATAATTTTTTTATTTATTTTATATAAAAATAATTTAACAATCTCATCAGTAATCATCTCTCACACTCATCATAATAAATATACTTTTACTTCATCCTATCACTAGCAATCTCCACATTAACAATCACTTCACTAACCATCATTTCACTAACAATCCTATCTAACCTAATTCGTCAAACAAACGTGGCCTAAATATCAAAAATACAAAATAAATAAGAAAATTCAATACAATTTTTTTTTTATATTGTTATGTATTTATTAATTTTGTAAAATATTTTTTTTACAATTATTTTATTTTTTAGATATATCTAAATTATACATTTAAAAAATAAAAAATTACTTTAAATTTTAAAAATATTTATAATTTACCCCCTGAGGTTTCTATTTCATAACAAATTACCCCCTAATTTCTTATGCAAATATAGCATTCAGGGAGGAATTCGTAATTTCTCAAACTTCAGGGGTATCTGTAATTTTGTAAAACCTGGAGGGGTGTATATGTAATTTGCCCAAATAAAAAGTATTCTAGAGTGCGTGAACAAATTAGGATTCTAATGCCTCGAAACAACGCAACCTTTATTCTTTGCCTTCTTATTTATTTTTTATTTTTATTTTTATTTTTATTTTTCTAACTCTGGAATTTTGCCTTCTTGTATTTATATGCAGAACCACATCCAGCAGGAGCCTCACTTCCTCAAGTTTTTTTCATCATTTCTGTTTCTGCTTTTGCTACCTCTGACCAAAATTATCGATCAAATTTCTCAATAACATAAACCAACCATGTCTTCGGAGTCATCAACAAGGTTTTCGATTGGTTACGCTATGCCCCCAAAGAAACTCGATAGTTTCATCCAACCTTCTTTCCTCGATCACGCCAAGTCTCGAGGTATCGATCTCGTTCCCATTGACACCACTACCAAGCCTTTGATCGAACAAGAACCCTTTGACTGCGTCATTCACAAGATCTACGACGAAGAATGGAAGAAACAGTTGATCGAGTTCTCTTCAAAAAACCCTAATGTTCCTATAATCGACCACCCCAATGCGATAGAGAAGCTTCACAATCGGATCTCTATGCTCCAAGTGGTGAAAGGTTTGAAATTTGGTTATCACAGCGAAATTTGCTGTGTTCCGAATCAGGTTGTGATCGAAGATTCCGAATCAAGGCTGTCAGATCCTAGTGTTCTTCTAGGGTTGAAGTTTCCGGTGATCGCCAAGCCCTTGGCTGCTAATGCCAGTGCGAAATCGCACGAATTGTCGCTGGTTTTTGACAAGGATGGATTGAATGGACTCAAGCCTCCGATTGTATTGCAGGAATTTGTGAATCATGGTGGAGTCATCTTTAAAGTTTATGTTGTTGGGGAATATGCGCAATGCGTGAAGAGGCATTCATTGCCCGATATTTCGGAGGAGAAATTGGGGACATTGCGAGGTCGGGTTCCGTTCTCACAGATATCCAATCAGGCTTATGTTATTGAAGAAGTTGAGATGCCCCCAATGAGTTTTATTAATGATGTTGCAAATGGGTTGCGGCTGGCTATGAATCTTAACCTTTTTAACTTTGATATGATTAGGGATGCCACTGCTGGAAACAAGTATCTTGTTATTGATATCAATTACTTTCCAGGTTATGCGAAGATGCCTTCATATGAGACCGTGTTGACGGATTTCTTGTTGGGAATTTTGAATAAGAAGCCAAGTGAAGCAACGAGTTTGGAGCTGAAAGAATGCCAGGAAAGTGGTTAATGGATCTGATCATGCTTAAACCCTAAACCCTAAAAGCATGGAGCTTTCTGGTTACATCAGTGCTCAATGACTTGCGGTAATGGTTTTTGCCTAAAGTTCTTTGCTTTTATTTATCTTTATATTTCAGTAAGGTGTAATGTGACTAAAGGAAGGAAATTATGATTTTGCTTTCAAGATTACAGTGTAACTGTTTTTGGCTTCTCCAAACCTTTGCCCTGACATTGTGGTGGTGTATACTTCAATACCTTGAAAAACATAAGTACTCCAAAATACTTGGAAGTTTTTGTAATGGCAATATCATATTTCAACTGATGTTATTCATGTATGCTGTTTGCTTAGATATCTTCACATTATGCACAACTTGATGCGATAGAATTTGTTGGTCTTTCTTATATATTTTCATCGCTTAAGGCTTCTGTGTGTTGAAGTTTCTGTTATGTACATGGATGTTCTGTGTTTGGTAAAAAAGAATATTCTTGTCTAGTACTCTGGATGGAACATCTATCATCTGTGTCAACAATGCATGGTTAGTATCCATATCGGTGAATGTTGAATCTTGGACGCCGAATTTATAATCAATACAGAGTGCACATGCATTCATTGGAGTCCCAAATGCAATTTACTTGTTGGCATATGTACACTTGTATCTTAAGTTGGTGAATGCCTAAACTTTCATAATTATTTACAGAATTTCTCTTTAGATTAGAGGCTTAAATAAGTATTGCTTAATATTTGAGAAGGATTCAAGTTGTGGATGATTACAATATTGGATAAATACAGTTTCGGGGAAGCGAGTTGATGACATATGGCATAAAATGGGACATTTATTTGTCAGTTGCTCTGTTATTTGTGTGAACGGTTGTGGTCCAAATTTATATTAGTGTGCAATAAGAAAGAAATTTCTGTTCTTACAGCCTTGAATGTAAGTTGAATAATGCTTGTAGCAATTTTGTACTAATCTTAAAATCAATTTATATAGGTTGTTAGAATTAATATTTATTGAAGTTGCTCGATGCAAAGTGAATGATTTATTTGCTTTTTTTGTTCCTCCTTTTGTATTTGTACTAAGCCCTATGAGTTTCTAAATTGTTTTAATTATTTGCAATTATTCAAATAACAGAAACAATATTTGTGATATTAGGAAGGCAACTTTGATTGTGTATTTGCCATTTTGTTAGTCCAATTAAGTAGATGCATATCTCTATTTACAATACTAATCAACGTTAATCTAGGCCTACTCCATCCCCTAACACTCCCATCTACCGTTACAGTATCGCATCTTTTCACTACTGTCTCTGTTGGTCTCTGTTGAATGTGACCAAACCATCTCAATTTATTCTTTCTCAACTTATCTTCCATCGGTGCTACTCCTACCCATTCTCGAATACACTCATTTCTAATTTTGTTTTATCTAGTCTTGCCACACATCCATCTTAGCATCCTTATCCCAGCCACATTCATCTTATCTACATGTTGTTTCTTGGTTGTCCAACACTCCGTTCCATACAACATCACTGGTCTAATAGCTGTTCTATAGAACTTACCTTTTAGTCTAGTAGGTATTCGTTTATCGCACAGTACCCCAGACGCACTTCTCCACTTACACCATCCCGCCTTAATCCTATGGGCCACATCTGTATCAATCTTCCCTACTGTTGTGATAATCGACCCTAAATAACGAAAATGTTCACTCTTAGACAATTCTTGATTCTCAATCTTCACTTCTTTTCTGCTTTTATTGTTACTGTTACTAATACTAAATTTACACTCTATGTACTTTGTCTTAATTCTGCTTATTCGGAATCCTTTAAATTCAAGAAATGTTTTCCAAATCTCCAACTTAGTGTTAACTCCTTCTCTAGTCTCATCTACTAGCATAATATCATTTGCAAAAAGCATACACCATGGCATGTCATCCTGAATATTTTTTGTCAACTCATCCATAACTAAAACAAATAGATAAGGACTTGAGCTAGATCCTTGGTGTAATCTTACAGTGATAGAAAATTTATTTGTCTCTCCAGCAAGCAATCTAATAGTGGTCACCACCCCTTCATACATGTCCGTAACCACATCAATGTAACCTTTTGTCACCCCTTTCTTCTCTAACACTAATCATATTATATTCCGGGCACTCTATCATATGCTTTCTCAAGGTCGATAAACACTATATGAATGTCTATTTTCTTTTCTCTATACTTTTCTATTACTCTCCTCAAAAGATAAATCGCTTCAATTGTTAATCTGCCAGGCATAAACCCAAATTGATTATCTGACATCTCAGTTATATCTCGCAATCGGCGTTTCATCACCCTCTCTCACACATTCATTATATGACACATTAGTTTGATTCCTTTATAGTTGTTGCAATTCTGGACATCTCCTTTATTCTTATAGATTAACACTAAAATACTCTTCTTCCACTCATCTGGCATGTTTCTAGTTAATAAAATTTTGTTAAACAACCTAGTCAACCAAGCAATCCCTTTTTATTTGTGGATAATGAATGACACATAATATTTAATGAACATCTCTTTGATAATTTTTTTTTTTGTTGTTTATGTTAACTGGCATGACATAAAGTGGATCATAGTATTGGATAGATTAAAAAATTCTTGCCCGCAGTTATGAACACATGTCAGGATCAGTTGATGACTATCCATAGTGCTTGCTTGGTCATGACTCAGTGTTGAGGAGTGAAAAAGGGATTATTGAGACCGGTCTGTTTGGTTGTTTATAGGCATCGTTTGGGAACAAGCTAATTTAGTAACTTTTTGGCTATATTGTTAAAATATGAGCTAAAAAAAACTAGTATGTTTGGGATGACTTTTTGACTTTTTACGAAAAGATGTGCAAAAAGTAGAGAAAAAAAAGAATTTGACTTTTTGGTATGGGTTGTTGGCTTTTTGACTAATTTAGTAATTTTTTGACTTTTTAACTAAAATGAAGGGTTCCCAAACGAGGCCTTAGTAAAGTTTTCTGAAAAACTTAAAAAATAAAATATAATAATAATAATAATAATAATAATTTAATCCAAAAAACAACCAAACAGACCGGTCAAAGGTTAGGTGTGTCCCAATTTTTTTCCTCCCAAACACACATTAATGTGTACTAATTGAGCGTTGTTTATCAAAGAAGATAACCTGCGTTTTGCTTTAGAATTGCAGTTCCACATAAGTTGGATTGTTTGTGTTGGATTTTTTTGGTCTTTTGGCCATTGGCAAATTAGGTTGGCATAATGTAACAATGATTCCAATGTGTGGAAGCAAATTAACTAATCTTCATTTCTTGAAGTTGGTGGCTATGTCAAACTTCTGGTATGGTTCACTATTACCTTGATCTCTTTTAGGGTCCATTTGGATGGATGTGGATTTCAAATCAAAAGGGATGTGATCTTAATTATTCAACAACAATAACTCATATTTAGATATGATAGTTTACTTGTGAATTCTAACCTTGAGTTAAACAGTTTTATCATGATGGATTTGCAATACCTATATAAAACTAATTATTTGAAATCATGCTAAGGATTCTCTTTTTAGCTCTAAGGATCCTACTTAAGTGTATATATTTTCCATCTCAACTTATCTTGTTCCCTTTCTTTTCTATCCATTTAACCTCAATTCCCTTGATTTTTTTTTCCCACAACTATCCAAACGGACCCTTAGAGCCATTCCTTATATGACATAGACTGTAAGTGGCTGTTTCTCCACATTCTCTCACTTGTGCTAGAGAGAGACACTGAATCATGAAATTTCTGTAGTTGCTTTGATGGATGATATTTATCTGCTTACTTTGTCAATGCGATTGAAGGAAATAACTGCATTTTGTATTAGAATCACAATTCTGCATAAATTGGATCATTTGATTGGTTGCTTAGATATTTTACCTTTAAATTTGCTTTCCCAAGTAATGAAGGGGCCAATATATGGACATCAACTAATCTTTTATTTCACATTCTTGGCTTCTTCTGTTGATGTTGGTGACTACAAAATTTTGGCACAGTTCTCCATTGACTTGATCTCTTCTAGGGCAATTATTTATGTGGCTGGACTCCAAGTGGCTGTCTGTACATGGTGCTTCTTTCTATACAAGAAAGACAAACTGAACCGTGGAATTTCTGTTATTGCTTTAGAGTTTAGCTTGAAATTCTGCATTTTACATTTGATGAGCTAAGATATTCTATGCAGTGCATGCTGGGAGTTTGTGACACCTCAACTGCTTATGGTTCTGTTAGCAGTGTATTTGTTTGAAGTTGCTTCTTAGAACTTGTTTGCGTCAGAGATCATCTTCATATCAATTTTCTGTTGTAGTGGCATTCTTCTGAATGGTGGGTTGACAAATCAATTAATTGAATGGTATGCCTTGCTATTAACTTGGGAAGAAGAATCAAGGATCTTAGCGAAGTCTTAAACGTTCCAATCTCTTAGAGTTGGAAATATAGTGGCATCTTGGTGGCTCAACACTCATTATTGTGGGCCTATCTTGTCCTTGTAGCATCTTCAACTTCAAGAAATAATAGGAATCTTAACTAGTCTTTTTTTTTTTTTTTCCTTCCTTCAATGATCAGCAACAAAAGAAGCTTTAATTAATCTTGGAAAAAGTACAAAAAGAGCACAAGATGTCCTTTGCAAACAAAGATGAAACATCAACAATTAAAACATTAATTAACCACCATAAATTGTTTTCCAATCTCTAGAAATAAAAAAGAACGGACTTCCATTGAATGGAGCCGATATAGACGGCCGAAACGATGCCAAGTAACAAACTCTATACCATAGAGATGCTAGATCACCAAACTTATCCTCAAAGATCCTAGCATTCCTTTCTAACCAGATAATCCAAAAAATTAAGAAGACAACACGCCACATGACTTTTGCTTTCTTTGATGCGTCAAATCCCCGAGAATCCATTAAGATCATGAGAAGACAATCTAGGTTCCACACAATTTGCACCAATCAACTAGAAGAAATGATACCAAAGATCCAAAAGCCGCATGACAAAGCCAAAATAAATGATCCATCGATCCCCCACTTGTCCTACACATGATGCACCATTGAGAACAAAGATAACGATTAGGTTTTCTCTTTTGGAAGGAGTGATTAGTCATGATTTTTCCATGAGCCAAAAGTCCACATGAAAAACCTTACCTTAAGAGGCACTATCACTTTCCAAACCCTTTTGTTAAGAGGAAAAAAAAGGAACATTGCGCTTATCTATGATAAAATCAAAGTGGAAATATAAGTTTTGTGCACTAACTTCTTAGGGTGAAAATTGTGCCATCTTAGCTTCCTCACCTCTGTTTTTAGTCTTTTGACTTTCTCT